TCCGGCTAATACTTCATCTGAATAGGCTTTTGTGCTTCACTCATCCCACGCTGTTTAGTAAACGCTAGATTCATGTCAGCAAAAATGGGAGATTAAACTGTATTCTCTGGTATTAAACGCATGTTTTTCATTACCTCGATCCTATTGAAGATGTTTGGCGGAGGCTAGTGAGGGTTGTAATGAATGATGGAATTAAATCATTTTTGAATGAATCTACAAGTCATGTACGAATGAAAGAAAAGCAGTATAATCTGCTTACAACCATTAGAGATGTACTTTATATTAGAGGCAGTTAGAATGGGAATTAGGTACTGGAATGGAGAAGAAAAGGATGACAAAAAGAGACACAAGGCGCGTCTTCATCATCTTGACATGGATGGTAAGACCCATACAGACATTTATAAGAGGGAGGATAGAATAGAATAAGATATCTTTTTAAATGATGATTGGAAAATGATGATGCTCTATAGAAATGACAGTTTGGAGGTCATGAAACACTGAAAGAGAGACGGAACCAAAAACAAGTAACAATCGAAAAGGAATCGATACAGATGAAGAAATTTTCAGATGATTCATAAGTAAAGTTAAATAGTGTTCAACATTCCTACGGAATCAATACTCTGAATGTTGAGCATGCTAGAGCTTACTGGTGTAAGACTATGAACAAGGCAGAGATGAGGAACGTATCTCGGTCATCCAAATTCCCCACCTCCTACATGTACCCAGCCTTCTTGCTTGTATATAACAAAACATGCCATAAAAAAAAGTTACGATTGACGCAGCAGAGTAGCCATTTTTCATGCAGACTTTTATAGAATAACACCAACAAAAGGTAGGCAGATGAGATAGAGAGGGGAGAAACGAAAGAGAGAAGCAGATATATTGGGAGAGACAGAGAGGGACAGAGAGGGAGAAAGAAAGAAAAGATGAATTGAAAGAGAGAAGCAGGTATGTTAGAAGGTACATATAGGGAGGAAGAAAGAGAAAGAGAGAGAGAGAGAGAGAGAGAGAGAGTGGGATAGAAAATGAGAGAGAAAAGGGATGAAAGAGAATAATAAAGATACCGTATATTGACAGAGGTTTGCTAACAGAGAAAGGACAAGGTTATGCATTAAGATCTAAGTTGTGAATAGAAAAGAAACTAGAGCGCAGGTTTTATAGCAGGATTTACAAGGGCATGTCCTCATGAAAGATACTTACAAAATTGTGAAAGATGCAAAATGACTATAAACATTGATGTAAATAGTTTCCAACATTAAAGGATTGGAAGGGAAAGAAGAAGTACTCATGAAATAGTCCTTAAAAAATTATGTTAACTCAAAAAATAACGTCCACACAAATTTTATCTCCTATAAACTATCTTCCTGGAGGAAAAAACCCATCTTATTGAAGATAACAAGGGTAGGCATGATCTCTTACACCACAATGAAGTCAAAACTAATCCTAATTCTATCTTTCATTGAAACCATCCTTGATCATACCTTGCACGCAAGTAAGAGGAAACACAAGCCAAGCAGAGAAAAAAATACTTTACAAATTTCGGCGGCTACTTTCAAGCTTGCTTGCATGAAAATAAGACTCTTTATTTTGTTTTGCATTGAACTCTATGCAATTTTGGGGGGGCTCTTTTATGACTTTCGGGGGCTCTTTTTTGCTTTTCCGTGTATTTTTTCCCTGAAGCAAAGATCCTCAGCACAGGTGGTGGTTTGGATGCCATTCTAAATAAATTATTCCTTCAATGTTTGCACAAACATTCAATTAATGCTCTAACCTTGTCTGAAGTACAAACAAAAAATTACATCACAATGCAAAAATAACAGAAATTCGTTACCTGATGAGATGTAATAAGATAAAGATAATATGTGAGATAGTCCTTGTATTTTAGTCAGACTCAGTTAGGAGAGGGGGAAATCCCATGCCTGAAATGATTTCATTAGTATAAAAGCAGAAAAATAAGACAAACAAAATGGCGACAGTTTGAAATAAATCGAACTAATAATAAGAAAGTTATGAATGTTTGAAATAAGAGTTCACTAAATCTATGCGAATTGCAATTTGATCACGAGTCTGCTTTCTTTTAGAGTAGTTTACTATTAAGGTTGGATTTCCGTTTAAACTCATTTTTACTCAAAGTAATATTTTCTATAGTCCTAAAGCCAGACTACTTTATTAGGAGAAGGGAAGCACGAGGCAACACAAGTCCAAGAACTTTGTTAAGAATCAAGTTAGGAGGAGAAACTCGGCAACAAAAAGTGCATCGTCTTAATGGCAGACAAAGACACAATCGTGCAATTGTGAGGGCTCGTGTAGACACTGTGACGCTGATTGTGGTCTCCAATAAAACAAAGGGGGAAAGGAGGCTAATTAAGAGAACGGGAGCGTAATGTCCGACATGAGAGGGGAGAAGGTTTCGTGAGAGATCTACCTTTATCAACTAGCTTCCCTTTCACATTCCACCAAGAACTTGCTTGGGGGCAAATTCACCATCCCTAGGGGTGCATCCAATGGGCCTATTAATACACACATGAAATAATTAACAGGAAAGTAGTCTCATCTGTACCCCCCCCCCCCCTTCTCCTGATTCAGTTTAGAAAAGGACATACCTAAGGGCATCTACTCTGTCAAACAATAGACACTAGTATCCTACCATTAGGCTATTCACTTATTCATTCAATATGGTTCCCTACAAAATACTTTTATTCAGCTGATGAAGTTTGAATTTAATTCACATACAGTTATCATTCATACTTCGGAGTATATATATTTCATAACATCTCAACATTAATATGATTGAGGAGAGGTAAGAATCTGATTTTTGTTTCTTCATCTTTTGAGAGCCAGAAGTATATGAATTAATTCCTTTCTGGCTCCAAACAGACAATTTGATAGTATAATGAAAAAAATACCGAATAACAAATCTTAAAGGTGTCCCCCCCCCCCCCCCTTCGAATCCTGGTTGAGTAAAAATATTTAGAAAATAATCTCATCAATATTATAATAGTTAATTTCGAAAAATCAGTCTTAGATTGCATTTTGTATTAATCAAATGAGTTCTGTAATAGTTCATGATGCAAATTGCTCTGTAATTTGTGGTTGGGAGAATATTACTAATTGATTTATGTGTTGACCGGTGTGTTGGCTCAGTCAGTAGAGCGTCGCCTCACAACTGGGAGGTCGTGGGTTCGAACCGCAGCCGCGTCATACCAAAAGACGTTAAAAGAAGGGAGTTGCTGCTACCTTGTTTGGCGTTCAACAATAAGGGATAGAGCAACGTCGATCTGGCGCTGCTCAGTGGCTGTCGGGCTCACGATCAATTGGGCAAAAAGAATTTTCATTTTCGGTTTAACTTAATAAAATTTGGAGAGGACTTTAAAATATTATTATTATTATTATCATATTATCGTGTGACACATCTATTTAATATTCAAGTTAAAGTGCTACATTTGTATACACCAATGAAGCATCAATGCTTAATTTTGATTAATATTCTTTCTTGTATCTTTAGGTGATTGCATGTTGCTAGAGATCAATGAACTTGTGCCGATGGTTAATAGTTCAAACAGTTTCTGGTAAATGATATATCTCTCAGCAGAACACATTGTTCCCTATACTCTCTTTGGGGGTTTTATTTTTGAAGAAAGGGAAAGACTTCCCTTAATACAAGTCTGCCTCATCTTTTATTGAGCCCTTTTCCTCCGTTTTACTTTCGAGAGAAATGACCTCCTTCCTCTCACCAAGAAAGACGAGAGGATATAAGGTGCCCAACGTGAGAGGATGCAGACTTTTTATAGCATTTTATCTTGTGCTCTTCTATTTCTTTCTTTTTCTCTCTCCCTCTTACTCTTCCCCTTTCTCTTTTGTTGTCTGTTTTTACCAATTGCTGGCTGTTTGGGGTCTCTCTGCTTTTATTAAGTCCATGTTCCTCTTTATTTCTCAACTCTCTATCTGTATCGTTGTCTACTTTCCTTTCTTTTTCTAATAATTGCAACATCTTACCCCATCCTTTGACCACACTCTTTCTATCTTTCTATCTATCTATCTATCTATCTATCTATCTATCTACCTATCTATCTATCTTTCTAGCTTTCTTTCTTTCTTTCTATCTATCTATCTATCTATCTCACTATTTCTTTAGCATCATTTTTTTCTTTCTGTTTCTCATTCCTACTCTCTCATTCTCTGGATTAAAAAAAAAGTTAAAACTTCACTGCATCTCTGCATTTTCATTTTCTAATATACTTCATAAATCTCTTCTCTGTTTATCAACAAGAAAAATACAAACAGAGAAGGAAAAAAAAGGTGAATATCATTTTTAACATACAATAAAGAAGTAGAAGATAAAAGGCTCTAAAAATAGCCATTTTAGAGATTTTCCCAACTGCCTGATCTTTCCAGCTGACATGGATGTTCCACATCAGTCTAGCCAAAAAGGAAAAATCTTTCTACACCTCACATCAATTCCAGGACAGAGAAGGGGGGAAAAAACATCCATTTTTGACAACCATTTTCGGTCTTGCAATATCCTCAACCTCCAGTGATATGCTACAATACAGACTGCTTACAAAAAAAATTTGGAGCTGAAGATAATCCAAAACTTCACTTTCCATTTTGTTTACTAACTTTGATATCACTATATATTTGTTTATGTCTATAGAGTACAAACACACTTATTATCAATAGCTTTAGTCTTGGTAAACCAGACTATGTTTCTCTTATATTGTAGGCACTATGCTTTAGTGTATTGAGTGGTGGTGGTTATTTTACCTGACTGCTAAAAAGCATAAATGCTTGTAATCAACCAGAGGACCGACAGCTTTAGGTCCTTCTCCGAGGGTTCTGGTAATGAGGATTAATGCCTTGCCAAAGGGCACTAGCGCATTGACTTGGTTTTGAACCCGGGTCACCGGGACCACTGTTCTACCGACTGAGCTATTTGTGTGCTCTTTTGTACTCCATTCTTTAAGAGCATTGCCATTATTCATTTATCTTTTTATACTTACAAGTTAACTCTGCATTTGTTGGGAATGGAGTAGATCAGACAAGCTACCAAGGCAGACATCTACGCGCAGAGAGTGATTCTGAAATGAAAAGAACAAGGAAAAGTTGTCAACACTAAATGTCACTGGAAAGGGGGGGGGGAGACAATTTTCAACAAACTGCAACTCTTTCAGGAACCTGTGGAGATAAATACATGTGTAACATTAAATATATTTAATCATAATACTCATAATAATAATACTCAGTTTTTATATAGCGCTTATTAGAATCACTAACACTTCCAAACTTGGAGATTATTACCCGGTTTTAGCTGTGCTGCCATTGCGGCACTCTAGCATTTCAAGGAATTAATTCCTGCCAGGTACCCATTTACATCACCTGGGTTGAGTGTGGCAAATGTAGATCAATGTCTTGCCAAAGGACATTAGCATCTGAATTTGGCTCAAACCATTAGGTAATTTATCCACTGTCTGCTAGAAGGCCATTACATCTTGAGTAAATATTCAACCTATTAATTATTAATCATTATTAATGATTATGATATTCATTCCTAGGGGAATTAGATGTCATATAAATGATGAATCATCACAGGAAAAGCATGTTTAAAATCAAAGTTGATATTGATAGTGTCTTTGGAATTTGATGGGTGCGAAAGTATTTCATTGAAGGGGTCTGTAGCCCCAAGACTATGTGGAGTGCTAGTGAAAGCTGTACTCCTATCTCTGCCCACATATTGTGAAACCTTCCAGCTAGGTGCAAGACGCAAAGGGGTCAGTAACCGGTCTCTTGATCTCAGGCATGTTTAGACTGCTACTTTGATGTACCTATTACAGTATAACAACCATGGCAAAATTGATCTTGAAGTGAGTAGTATGAACATATCAGTTGAGGTGGTGAGGACTTTTAATTCTGAGGTTATTTCACACTTGATGCCCATTTTTCACATTTTTCCAATGTACAACATCTTGCTACATTCATCTGACTTGGTGGAAAAACAGTATTAAACATCTAGGGGTGTTTCACAAAGATTAAGACCGACTGTAAGTTGGACTCAGCTATGGCAGGCCGTTTATGCCACTGGTTGCTCTCACCATCACATTTCTATGTATCACTATCATTACAATACATCCATCCCCTTTTTCAAGCCGACTCTAATCCTCCCCAACCCCCAACACCAACCCCTTCCCACCTCCACGCCACTTTTCAATCCCATCTGAACAACTATTACCCTCACCACCTCCAGCCCCCTCCCCAGCCCCACCTCCACCCCCTCCCCACCTCCACCCCACTCTTCAATCCCATCTGAACACATATTACCCTCACCACCTCTAGCCCCCTCCCCAGCCCCAACCCCAGTCCCACCTTCACCCCCTTCCCACCTCCACCCCACTTTTCAATCCCATCTGAACAACTATTACCCTCACCACCTCCAGCCCCCTCTCCATCCCCAGCCCCAACCCCTTCCCACATCCCACCCCACTCTTCAATCCCATCTGAACAACTATTACCCTCACCATCTCCAACCCCTTCCCCAGCCCCAACCCCTTCCTACCTCCACCCTACTTTTCAATCCCATCTGAACAACTATCACCCTCACCACCTCCAGCCCCCTCCCCAACCCCAACCCCTTCCCACCTACACCCCCTTCCCACCTCCACCCCACTTTTCAATCCCATCTGAACAACTATCACCCTCACCACCTCCAGCCCCCTCCCCAACCCCAACCCCAGTCCCACTAATGCAACCTCAAAGGCTCCTAACCGACCCTCATCAAGTGCAGCACTGCAAGCAGCAAAGGAAAGGAACACGGTCTAATTTAGTCTTTCCTCTGGTCTGTTTATCAAGAGAAATATGATGAGGAGACATAGCCTACAGTATACTTATGTAATGAAACCTTTGTATGTGTGGTGAGTGCAGGCTAAGGCAACCATGGCAAACCAATTATGAGAACCTGTCCAATGTATAGAGTTCAAGAACCTCGATACTCCCTCCCTCTGTCCTCCTTGACAAGTTATTGAACAAGTTGAACTACAAATCTATACATAGTTTGCCACATGTAGATATTTCACTATTATGATTAAAAATTATCCCCTTCAAATTAGGCCTGTCCTCACTATCTCGAGTTTGCCAAATATCCCGCTATTTGAACTATCCCGATCGCAAACTATCCAGCTAATTTGCGTCTTCATCAGCCCGAAGTTGCAATTAGCGGGATATTTGATCGGTATTGTCATCCCAAGATATCTTGGGATAGTTTGCAAAATATCCCACTATTTGGCAAAATATTCAGCTATTTGTCCGGTGCGTCCTCACCAGACCGAAGACTCGCACTGTGCGCGAACGCCAAGCAAAATTTCTTGAGCTTTTTTCTCAAGGTCGAGTTTCAAGTTTCGAGGTCGAATCTCTAGCTGATGAAGACGCGATTTGTAACTTCAGGATTATTTCCCAAATTTGGCAATCTCAAGATGATGAAAACGTGCCTAATGACTGCTCAAGAGGGTTGGATGGTTGGTTGGTTTGTTTGTTTCACCTGACTGCTAAAAAACCATGTGTATGCTTGTAAGAAAGCAACCAGGGAACCAACAGCTTTACAGCCTCTCTGAGGGACTTGGTAATGAGGATTAATACCTTATCAAAGGGCACTAGCGCATTGACTTAGTTTCGAACCCTGGACCTCCCGGATACGAGACCCCTGCTCTAGCACTGAGCCGTTGCGCTTCACTAGGTTGAGTCAAATATATATGCGTGTACGGAAATAAAAAGTAATGTGAATGTCCCGTTGGTTCTCGGAAGATAATTTGGTATTCCTCAGGGAATACCGGTAGATATTTTCACCATTGTGAAAAGTCTTGAAACCCCTTTCATAATCACTGTTTAAACGGGTTCAAGTCCAGGGTCCTGTTTCATAAAACTTGACATCAATAACAAGTTACAGTAACTGTTAGAAGCTACCTAAATTAGGGCATTTGATTGGCTGAGAGCGAATTTGTCATATAAGGTGAGCGTTTGTTATTGATAACAAGTTTTATAAAAACAGGTCCTTGTGTAGAGTAGGATATGATCTTATATGAACACACTTATGTCTCTAAGAAGACGATTTGACATTCATCTGGCTCCGGGAATAGTCTACAAGGACTCTGATCACCAAAGCTTTCAACAAATAATAATTTAGACTGTATGCAAGAAACAGGACTACATCAATTTCTGTATGCTTACCGGTATCTAAACTATCTTATAGGCAGGCACGTATCTCCATTGTGACAAGGGTGTTATCATGCATACAGGGTACCTACATGTATCACACATGAAATGGGTTCTGCTAAAACGTGGGTATAACTACATTTGAAAATAAAAGTATCCTTCTAGTTATTGCATAAGCAAAAGCAAAAACAAAGTTGCTGCAAGAAATATTGCCTCTTACAATGTACCTGCATTTCAAGAAAAGACAATTAAAAGTGACAAGGCAATTCTTTGAATGTCATATGGAATTGTCTAGCCTATTGACTGAACACATAATTGACATCAAATTTTGGGTAATATCTTGATACCAGAATAATTAGGTATGGGCATAGTGAAAGAAATTGTTTATTTTTAAGACAAATAATAACAAAAACACATGTTGTATGGAATATATTTAATGAAAAGGTCCAACAGATGTATGACATAGTACTATCGAAGAAGGAATATATTGGGAAGGGGTTGAGGATCCCATTATTCTCACGATTCTTATCTTTGATTTTCAGTATTTAGAAACAGAGGATATTTAGGTTCAGTAAGAACATACAACAAGTCTTTTGAGTTATAATACGTGTGTCGTGTGATCACATTCTGAAGGCCAATACCGGTACGCAATATAATCTCTCCAAGAATTGGCCAGTGCATCCATGTTGTTGTTATGACAGACAGAATCAAAAGACAAGTAAAGGACTCTTGCTTTGTGAAGTCTCTGAATGGACTTGCACACAATGCCGATCCTGCTCTGATTATGCAGACCTTTCTGGACAATACAAGACGGCACATTCACTATGCCAAGTTCAGCCAGAAGACAATGTCTGTTTGTGACCTTCTCACTTGACAACAATGCTCAAGACTCTGCTTTGGCTCGAACTGAAGCAAGGTCCTCATCAACCGCCCCCTGCCAAGTTATTACCGAGACGACCGAGTTTGGCAGAGGCGTTGACAATGCTGTCAAAATGATAATACCCCTTTGAAACAACCTGCGAAGTTCAGCGATTTATTAAGGACTTAATGGAATTAACGGCAGGCATGGAGAAAGGAGGTCGTGTTATGGCCAAACGGAAGAGTGTTGAGTCCTTATCGGTGTGTCGTCTGCAAAGAGGATATTACCCCCAGCAAAGTAGTAGCGCTGAATTATTGTACGAGCGCCGAACGGCCGGTAAGGGTTGTTTCCTTCCTAGTGATGATATGCCAATGTCACAATACTGTCTGGACCATACCTGACTGTCAAAGATATTCATTTAACCCATTCAACACCAATGTCACAATACAGTCTGGAATATACCTGACTGTCAAAGATATTAATTAAACACATTCAATACCAATGTCACAATACTGTCTGTCACCATACTGTCTGGACCATACCTGACTGTCAAAGATATTAATTTAACCCATTCGATACCAATGTCACTATACAGTCTGGACCATACCTGCCTGACTGTCAAAGATATTAATTTAACACATTCAATACCAATGTCACAATACAGTCTGGACCATACCTGACTGTCAAAGAGATTAATTTAACACATTCAATACCAATGTCACAATACAGTCTGGACCATACCTGACTGTCAAAGATATTAATTTAACACATTAAATACCAATGTCACTTTGCCAACGGGACCATACCCGACTGTCAGGTAATGCCTTGAAACAATATAATACCCATTTCAAACCCTGCCTGGACTATACCTGGCTCTCAAGGTAGTCCAATTTTACTTTGACCCTAGCGAAGCTACAGATTTTAGTGTGAACAGCATTCAAGAAATCCTTTCCTAGGGCAGTTGTTGGCGCTAGTTTAGAAGTCTATCCAAAATTTGAGATGTAACTCCTACTAAAACAT